GATTAGTCATTTCTGTACTTATTCGCTTTACCTTCTGTCAGCCATAAATCATCTTCTGTTTATACATTCATCCTTCCATCTCTTGGTATTCATAATTATGTTTGTACATCCATACAAGAAAAGCATCGATAGTTAATTATGTTTTTATAAGGTGTTAATTCTTTAAGGGCAGCATTTTTAATCGATTAATCTGCAACATCAACGAGGCGCATTCACAGTTGAGAGCTGCAGTATTTATCATGACCACACGGGGGCAGTCGAACTCCACTTTACACCAAAAGGACTTCACACAAACAATTAAAACTCTGTTTATTAAAATATCTCAAGCATTCGTCAAAAAATAAAATTAACATTCTGTCCTCAGTCAACTATGAGAAGTGTAAAGTGTCCGCCGAAATGATAGGAAGCAGCTTTATTGTTTATTTACTTTTCAGATGCGTGCAGGAGGGCGGAGAAGGAGATGTGTTATAAATGGAGAATTGCCAAAATCACCAAAGCGGGATGCAGATGAAAGAGGAAGGGGGATTATAATTTATCCTCGGTAGATTACAGTAATCGACAGCGGGACGGCTGCTGCACCAGGAGAAAGTGTTTTTTCTTCTTGAGGAGGTTCAGTTATTATTGTGGAAACATTGACATGAATCTGACCGCGGGCAAAAATCAGAGCTGTGATCTCACAGGCAGATTTATTTAACGGGCGCAGAGGTTACCAATTAAATACAGGAGAGGGAACATGGAGCCAAATGTAGATTTTTCCCTGATGACCTCTACATGAAAATATTTCTGTTTCACTCAGATGTTTATAAGGTGTGTTTGTAAAGTTACACTGTCAAAAATTAACAGCAATAATCTGGGTTATTTAATCTAAGAGAAAAAAAATAGTTCATGTTTTCACCGTAACTATTCATTTATAAATGTCAGTTTCAAACTAAAAATTAGCACACTAAATATTTAGCTTACTAGCTAACTACTTAGTTTGAAGCTAAATACTTAGCTCAATACTAAGTATTTAGTCAGCAAGCTAATTTACAAACTAAATTGCCAATTTCCCTCTGAGATTAGTAAAGTATCTTTATTCATTCAAGTACTCGTTTGAAACTAAATATTTAGTTAGCACACAAAATATTTTACATCAAATTAAGCATTTAGTTAGCAAGCTATTTAGTTTGAAGTCAAAACTTTAGTTTGCAAGCTAAATATTTAGTTAGTTAACTATATACTTAGCTTGAAGCTGAGTGTTTATTTTAACTAAATATTTAGTTAGCAAGCCAAATATTTAGTGTTAAGCCAATTATTGAGTTGCCAATCTAAATATTTTTAGCTAGAAAGCTAAATATTTAGTTAGAAGGCTAAATGTTTAGCCTCAAAGTATTTAGTTATTAACAAGATAAATATTTAATTTGAAGTCTTATGAGAAAACTAAATGTTTTAAATAAAGTATTTAGCTCACAAGTTAAATATTCAGTTTGAAGCTAAATATGTAGTGTATTGGCTACACGTTAAGCTATCAAGCTAAATGTGTAGCTTGCTAGCTACATAGTTAGCATGCTACCTAAATATTTAGTTTGAAGCTTAATATTTAGCTTCAATAATTTAATTATAAATGATTTAATGACATGATGAACGTATGACTTTGAATAACAGATCATTTTCTTTCTTTTATAACATGGTAAATAAAACATTTATTGCTGTTAAATTTTCACTGTAACTTTGCTAACATCACCCCATGGATGTTTTCTGCTGTAGCTAAAAGGAAAGGTCACCCTGTATTATTTCTAATTCGGTTGTCTCAGTCCTGCCTGCAGTCCAGTCGGTTTCCGTGCACCCAGTAGCAGATCTGGGCGAACTTCAGCGGGGTGATGCGGACAGCCACGTTGTAATCCCGGTTCTCTCCGTCGATCTCCAGCCACTGGTGTCCAGAGAAAATCCCAATCACCTTCCTCTCCCAGCGCTCCAAGCCGACGTCCCACACCCGGCCGTACACCCCGGAGCCGCTGGCCCCGGGCCGCGCGTCGCAGTGCTGATAGATCAGGTCGCTCGACTCCTCCTCCACCGGACAGAACCGGTACACCAGCTCCCCCGGACGGTCGCTGTCGAACCCGGAGAAGTGGATGCGGTTCCCTGCCAGATCGTCCGAAGAGGGCGCTACAGAGAGCCGCATGAAGGGGCGCCGGTGAGGCCACCGCAGCTCCAAAAGGGCGTAGTCAAAGTCCATGCTGACCTCCTGCGGGCCCTGGATCCAGCCCTTCGGCACCCGGGTGCGCTTCACCCGAACCCAGCGGACCAGGGGCTTCTTGTTGGGAATCAACCCGGCTTTGGTGCCATTAACGGACGGAGGAATCAGGAAGCCCACCCTCAACTTCCGGGCTCCATGAACGTAATCCTTCCCGTCGTGCACGCAGTGGGCCGCGGTGAGGACGTGCTGCTGGGACACCAGGACGCCCGTGCATCCGGTGGAGATGCGCACCGCTGTGGAGAAGGGATAATCCATCAGGAAGTCGTCACCCTGGATGTTAAAACGCCCGTCCGCTCCGTAGATCTGCCGCTTCATCCTCCGCCTCAATCGTCTCCTCCGCCTCCACGCGGGCGCGTGAGTCGGGTGAAGAGCATCATCATCACCATCATCCTCCTCCACCTCCACTGTGGTGAGGGTGCGGAAACCGTCCGCGTACAGCGTCTCGAAGGCCAGTTTGTCCGTCATTTGCTCCTCCTGCTCGGCTCGGTGGAAGCAGCTGGAGTTGCAGCGGGTGGTGAAGTCCAGCTGGGCCTCGGCGCTGAAGCGCGAGCGGGTCAGAGGTGTCGGTGCGTGCGGGACCAGGGTGGGCACGTGCACGGGTTGGTGGTGGGGAGGCTGGAGAAGACAGAGGGTGAAGGGGAGGAGGTAATGGAGGAGCAGGTGAGTTGAGATGGTGATCTCTCGTGGCGTCATGGTGGAAAACACTGAAAATATTCACAAAATTATCATTTAAAGTTGTATTTTCCAGACACATAATTACATTTTATATCATAATCAAGTTAATGTTCACTTCAGTTGTATATATATATATATATATATATATATATATATATATATATATATATATATATATATATATATATACCAAACATGACTGAAAAGAAATTTGACTTCATAATTTAACACCTTATTGGACCGCTGTCTCTTTAAGAAGCTCCTTCCACCTTCAGTACGTCATCACAACGTTTCTCCATTAACCCTTTAAGAACAAGCCAGGGTTTCCCCCAGTAAACATGCTAAGCCCCGAGGTTAGGGCAGTCACTTATCCAGCGGCCTGCCGTGTTTTTGAGTTAAAAAATGTTACAGGAAGTTTGAAAATATCACTTGATAATTATGTTATTGGAAGATTAATACATGAATACTGATTATAAAGTCTTAAAAATGCAAACATTTAAAAAAGAGAAGTTAAATAAACATGCAATGCTAAGCCTGGTGGGGGCCCAAGTAAAGCCTGGCGGCTTATAATACACTGGGGGAACCCTGCAAGTAACTTATATGATGAGCTCAGCAGATGCACAGTTCCACCAGATGTTTGCTAATTGCTGCTGCCGCTAGTCTGAAGGAGCTTAGTCGTGCAACTTGGAGGAAGGGAGCTCTGTGAGACCCATAGTTGGTAAAAGCAAACGTTTAGGCGCTCCTGAAGGGTTGCCAAGGGAGATTAAAATATTTCTCAAATATGTACAAAAGAATCGAGGCAACAATCCAGGTATGTTTTTGATGAAGGAATAACATTGTAGCATAATATAAACCTCAACAAAGTTTATTTGACATAATACTGCTCCTTTTAGCCATGTTAACAAAAAGTTGAGTGAAAACAAAACCCATTTAGGAGTTTGAGGGAAATTTACAAGGTGTGCATCTGGCCTTGCAAAAGTGATTGCAAGCCTTGACCTTTTCCGTGTTTTATGAGTTAAAACCACAGATTTGTAAATAATTTAATGTGATTGTGATGCTTTTGTTTTCTGACCACTTTACTTTAGTTAGAATTAAAATAGTACTGTAATTATGCAAAGAATTGCACAATCAGGTTCTGATGCATTGTAATGTTAGAAATTGATGTTTTTTATTGTAACATTACAAAATCTGAATAATTTAAACCAATTTTTTTCTGTATGTTCAATTTGGGGCTGGATAATAAATCAATAACAATACATATTGTGATAGATGATCAATATCCATAGATACTACATCTCACAGTTTAGTCAATATTCAATACATAGTTTCCACAAGTCTGAACAAGAAGTTATCTGCAGCACTGAACCGCCATCTTGATGGGCAAGTGCAGCTTCAAGACCAGCAAAAAGAAAGAACATTTAAAATGAAGTTTAAGACTTAATAGTTGTAATGTACTTTTATTGTTAGAAGTTAGATACGAATGAGGCAAGAGCTAGTTCTGAGCTTGTGGCTTGTTTGTTGTTGTCATAGCAACTCCTTACAGATCCCTCTCAAGATGGCTGTCAGCTACAAAGTTACTGGAAGTGTGACGTCACATGAGAACTGTGTATATTCATAATGAACATAGTTCTCATGTGAGGAACCAGGAACTTTGTAGCTGACAAGCTGCCATAACTACCTGTCATGACAGTTGCTATGAAGTAGCTATGACAACAATAAGCAAGCCACATTCTCTGCATCATACAGGTCGATCCCAACAGCAGCAAAAATATATTTCTGTCACACATTGGTTAAGAGTGTCAATAAACTTTCTTTTTGTTGATCTCAAAGCCATGGTTCATCTATGCTTTGTGCTGTATTTGCCTACCAAGATGGCGGTTAAGACTTTTGAGATATGTATTCACTGAACTTCAACCCAGAACTGTACAGCATTCTGGGAGATATCGGCAGAGAAAAGACTTCAGCCAACTAAGCAAAGTTGGTGGCATCAACTAACTCACTCGCTCTTTAGTTACCTAGCAACTCACTCATTCTTTGGTTACCTAGCAACGACCTGCTGAGTAACTGGTGCAGCAGCAGTTTCAGGTTTCACCACTGTGCCTCATAACTGTTTAAAATAATAATTTTAAAAAACCCAATCATGTTTGGTAATATTTCAGATATTTGAAACAAAAAAACGAATAAAAAATTATTGATTTCGACTCAGGCATATTGTCCAGCCTTAATAGCTAAACTTCTGCAAGTAGGTGCAGCTCACACGTTTCAGTATTGCAATCCGGACCTGAAGTTGGAGCGGTGAGACAACAATGACCCTTTTGTTCCCTGCAATATAGATTACCAGGATAATAGGATTTCACCCGATGGAAGCAAACAAGCGTTTTAATGTCTATTTGGCTCAACAAGCAATGAACAAATTCCAGAGAAAGGCCTGTAATAAAGAGCCGACCAGGTAAAAAGGGTGGCATTCATTAACAGCGAGGCTTTCAGAGCAGATGAACAGAGAAAGGAGACACTCGATCCCCGCTGTGGATCCCTGGGCTCGCATGGCATGACTATAGCAGGTGTGCAGAAAAGTAAAAAGCAGCAAGTCGAGGCAGGGCGGCAACACAGATCATTACTCCAGAAACAAGACAGGGTGGGGCATGTCCACACACCTATGAGCTCCCACACACAAGCAGAAAAATGCAGACTTTCTTTTTTTTTCAGGTATAAAACTGATTTCTTTCGCTTTTGAACTGACAGAAAAGTTGTCTTCCTTAGATTTTTATATTCACATGCTGATACTACTAAAATATTTGCATAAAACATGCAAAAAATAATAATAAAAAACAACAACATAAAATTGGTTTGGGGTTAAATTTGTGACATAAAGATGAAAATGTAAAAGCAATATGAAGCTCAGTTTGACTCTGAATGCAAAATAAACGACAGCAATTTGTTGTATTTTTCATGTATGATCTTTTTTTAAATCTTTAAAGAAGCAGCCAAGCACTGATTTGGAGCAGAAAACTTAAAGCTGATTCTGTTTTTAAGTAAATCGTTTATTTTGATGCCTACCTGCTGATTAGACTGATGTCTGTGGATCGGTTCACATCCCCGTCAGGTTTTCCTCTCCATCAGGGTCATTTCCCCAGGCTTCCCTCATTATATCCGTAGGCAAGTTTCTCCTCTTCCACCTTTATCTTCCCACTCTCTCTCTTTCTCTTTCTTTTTCTATTCTGTGCGCAAATGAAGCGCCAGGTGCGCAGTGAATGTGCGGAGCTCCTCAGCAGCCTGTGCGGTTCAGTCGCTGATGCGCGTCTGCATGATCCGCTCTGAACACAGGCGGATTTACTCTGACCCAGACCCTCCCCGTGGTCCTAGTGCCCCTCTGCTACATTTGACCGGTCAGTGTCTACCTGGAAAAGAAAAGACTTTATTCAAATATTTAATCCAAGCTTATATTTATGGTGATAACTCGAGATAATAAATAAGTGGGACCCTAGGATTTGACCTTGTGGTACTCCAAATGTGACTTTTGTCTTTTCTATTGTTGACGCAAATGCCTTGTCGTTCGCTCCTGACATTTAAGTATTTTTGGTTGTGATACAATCAAATTAAGTGAATTTTATTGGGATTTATGGCATAAAACAAAAATAAAAGTGATTAATCACATTGTTTTTTTTAGCAAATATTTTCACATAAGTTCAGTTTAGTCTGGATAATTAAAAACTATTTTAATTGCATTTACTCATTTAGTTTAAATTTTTAATTATCTGTAAGGGGACAAATTTTTTTCAACCTGAAAACTGGTACATTTATGTCAACTTAAAGTTTTGACATTAACTTACTTTTAAATGGGTGAATAGTTGTAATCATGAGCTTCACAACACATTTTTTTGTTTTTGCCCTATCAGATTTTAGGCTCATTCTTTTCATTACGTCAAAGACTTTTAACCTCAATGTTTATTAAAAGTCCCCAAAATATTCCAGGCAGATTAAGATTTTACATAATTCTTACTCAACCAAGAAACTCACAAAAGACTCCTTTTACTCACTTTTAAAAGGAATAAAAGTGCTAAAAATATATTTAAAATTTTTTTTTTACTTTTCAAGAGAAAAACTTCATGTGAAGACCAGTTTACTTTTGTCAATAATCATTGGCTACATTGTCTGGACTCTGACTCCTGCCAGGCAGATTAAACTTGTTGTAAAACAAAAATATTCCTTAAAATCTAAATAGAGAACTTAATTACTCACAGTTTTTTAAATCACATTTGTGTTCCCTCTGTAAAGCTTCAAAGCGCTGATTTGACATTTTTACTTGTGGAAATGTACCTTAACTTGTACATGGGAGGCATTGAAACAGACAGCTTCACGTTCACATGCCTCAGTAACAGATTATATGTATTTGTGATAACAGGCCTTTGGCATTTGCTTTGGTAGCCAACAGCTACACCCAAGCAAGAAAAATCTTGTTTCTGGCACGACTGCGCTCCAATTATGGCTCCTGCAAGGAGCTTTGATAGATTCACGTAAAAGACCGACTGTAGCAGCTCAGAGATCATCGCAGCCTGCAGGCAGAGGAGTGCTGCGGCACGTCTGCCCGTCCTTTGACCTTTAGTCACCTGAGGTCTGATTGGTCCGTTCCTCTACAGAGTAAAAGGACTCTGGGTGAAACCTGTGCTCAAGTAAGAGGAGAATTACTTTAATGTATTTTTACTCAAGTAGGAGTGAACAATAGTCATTCAAGAAATTAACAAAGTGGGAAGATCCAACTAAAATATTGACATTGTCGATATCGGTAGTGGTATTGGATAATACGTTACAGATTCCATCTTGCATTCCATAGATTCTCATCTCTATCTCAAAAAGATTCAGCTTTGATTTGGTTTTCTATTGTTTTATGTGTTATTAAAGTGTTTTGTAAACATATAAATTCAGCCCTAATTCAAGGGAAAAACCACAGAAACATGTAAAGATCAGCAGTTTGATTAAATGATAAAAAGCTTTTCATCAGTTGCAGCAACACTAGCCCTGGACTTGGTATAGCATCAAAAAGACAATATAAAATATTGAACATCTCTAAAGTAGGAGATCTAAAAGAAAAAAAAGTATTTCTACTCAAGTACATAGTAAATGCATAATTAGAATATTTGATTAAATTTGTGAAAATGGTGTAATCAAACTGACAGAAATATACGGCCCATTCTGGTATTTTTACGAATAAAAGAAACATTTTTACAAAAAACAAATTAAAGCAGAGGAAGGGAAAAAAAAATTCCCAATATTTTTTTAATTATAAAAAAAAGTTAAAAAGTTGAACTATTTTTCCAAATAACATTTTTTCACAACACAAAGCTACAAAAAATTACACAAAGAAATTTTGAGTAAATGTAAATATATATGACAGAGCCTTTGCAGTCCATCTCCCTCAGTTTGTCATCCTGTAGAAAGCGCATACATCCCACCTGTGTCCTGTCTGCAGGTCGATTAGCAGTTCTTAGTTGTTCCTTGTCAAACTCATGTTTCAAGGTTCATTCTTGGTTCACTTTTCATAAGAGCCACCTGTGGAACGTAAAAAAAAGGGTCTTAAACCTGTTAAATAAACATCTGTTGGTAATATTTCTTTCATTTCCGAAGCGATTTGTTCTGCTTGTCAGTCTTAATTCAAATGTTCAGGCTTTACCTGCTCAGTCTTGTCAGGGGTCACTGGCTGAAGAGCAGAAGCGAGCTCCCAGTGTGCTTTGGTGGTGTAGAAGTGTAAACAAAAGGTTTGAGAGGAAGCTGATCTCAAATCACATGGTGGTGGAATGTGATATGGTGTAATTATAACACCATTAAGGCAATGAATAGAGAAGAAAACAAGCTTGTCTTACCTGTTCAAGATCAGTCTGATGGAGTATGTTTCTTTAATATACTTATTCTCCAAATTACAATACTGAAATCTCTGGAGTGAGATATCATTTGAGGTCACGATGAAGGCAAGGTTGTTATGCATCCAAAGCTAACAGTTAAGCTAATGGTTTAGCTGTTAGCTTAACCGTTAGCTTACATTATTCTCAGAGCAGGGTTGATTCAAGAGTAAATTTTCACCATTTAAAACGGTTCAGAAATAAAAATTTACCTACCTTCACTTTGTTTGGTTTAAACTGTTCATTCTAACCAGTGTCTATTATGCTAACTGTTAGCTTACATTGTGGCTATGAATTCAACATTTAGATTGAATTCATAGTCAATACTAAATGTACAGTTAGATACTAAATTTACAGAAAACAAGTTCACAAGTTTGAGATCTTCTATTTCCCCAACAATTATTTTTCTCATGCTGGCCTGATGCTCTTGGGGGCCCCCTGGTGGTGCGGAGACCTGAAGCAGAGCCACTTGACTTGCACATGTCTTGGCCATGCTCAGCTTACCAGGTTTTGATGGAGTCCATGCTTTCAAGTCAAAATTATATTGCATTTTCTTTTCTTTACAATTGCAGATTTATTTTGGTTTTAACTGTGAGTCACAGAAAACTCACCAAAGCCATTCAGCATTTTGTGAAATAAGCAAAATGAGTGTTTTTTTGGTGCAAAGAATTACTGACTGTCAAGCAAAATTAATAAGGCGTTAAAAATAAATGAATAAGAAAACACCTGCTGTATCCTTTATTTAAACTGCTAGAGACTGGGTTTGACTTATTTTGTGACGAAGGAAACTATTTTGAGTAGAAATTACCTTAATTCACGTGAGAGTCGAGACTTTTTGAAAAACGTCACAATGTTGAAATAAAACCTATTTGTATAAAACAGGGCTTTATTTTAACAATGTGAAGTCTGTCAAAATGTGTTTTATTTATTCTTCAAATTCATTTTCTTTAGTCAGAAAGTTGTTTTCTCCTGACTTTTATTGCTTCGTAAATTTTGCTTCGTGGCACTTGACGGTTGGTGGTTGCCGTGGCAACCGGTAACGGTCAGTTCTTTCCCTGTATTCTGTTGCCGTCCGTGTTTTCTTTACGAATATACATATTTTAACATTTTTTTTGACAGATTTGATTATATAGAGGGTTTCAAGTTTAAGTTTGCCGTGTTTTGTGTATATTTTTAACTGTTATGACAATGATCGTTGTGCGTTTTAGCCGTGTTTAATTTTACAACTGTCAATTGTGTCAACTTTTCATTGGGAGCCATTGCTCTGTAGTTTGTTTAGGGTTATTTATTGTGTTTTATTTTATGTTATTATGACTGATGTTAACTACTAACTTGATTTTTTTTTTCTTTTTATTTCTCTGGACCTTAGATGAACAATGAAGGGTTACACTTAGCTACCACAAAAATGAAGAACACTGAGTCATTTGTCAGAGCAGATTCTCACTTGATACCAAAATGTACTTATTTTGCACATGTGAGGCTGTAAATCTGCCTTGCTGTCGTACCTCTGGTACCAAAAATGATAGAAAATCAACCCAGCTGAGAACATGTTGGCTCCAGATGAAAGGAAATTCCTGGACCAAGAGATGATCTTATGACACAGATACACTTCTGCTCCAGTTTGATGGCATATTTCCCCCCCAGTGCTCTGCAGATCAGAAAGGCCACATTATAAACAGTGCTTGATGTGACTCCAGGTAGAACCGGGGTTCTGTTTGCCATTTTTCACTCCATCAGGTTGACACACTATTAGAAAGTTTATGACAGGACCACACGTTGGACAACCAAAACACATTCAAAAATAACCAAGGACAGACTGAACTTCCACAGGAATGCGAGCAAAGGTGTTTTATTTGACGAATTCTCTGTCTGATTGTTCGAGACGTGGAAAATAATTTGCCAGGAGAGGAAAATGTTAGCGCTACCATGACTCCTGTGTCTTTCCCACAGCAATGCATCCTGATGCAATCCATGTGTCGGGTTTGCTGCTCATCCAGGAGAATGAGAGCACTGCCATTAATAAAGAGAGGGATCAAAACGCCATTCAAGAGCAGATCGATCCAGCAGTTCAGTCACAGTTTGGTCACAATCGCTTATTTTCCACCATAATGGAACCTTATGTTACAAAATGGCTGAAAGATCAGCTATATTTTAACCTGCAGTTAGTTTTCAAAAGAGGTCACCAATTTGACATATTGGTGGATAAAAAAAAAGTTTTTGTGGTTATATATCTTGATTTATATTAACATTAGCAATAGCATAATAAAAGTATGAGAAGACTAAGAAACTAAAAAGAAACAATTATAACATCAGTCTGGGCCGGCATCCATATGACACTTGGAGCGTAGAATACAAGTTATGAATTCAAAGGCTTTCACAGAATGGAGACAGACCATTCACTTTAAAAAAACGACAATAATAATAATGTTGAAAGACATTGGTAATAAACTTAA